AATTTTTTGTAGAGAAGGAGTCTCACTTTGTTGCCTGGGCTGGTCTTGAACTCCTGGCTTCAAACATTTCTCCCACTTCAGCCTCTGAAAGTACTGGAATTACAGGTGTGAGCCACCATGATGGGTCTCATCTTTTCTGTTTCCAATTGTCCATGTCCACATTTTTCTGTTGGGTTGTTGGTATTTTTCCTTTTTGGTTTGTACCTTTTTTTTTTTTCTTTTTTTTGAGACGGAGTCTCACTTGTGGCCCAGGCTGGAGTGCAGTGGCGTGATCTTGGCCCACTGCAACCTCTGCCTCTTGGGTTCAAGCAATTCTCTGCCTCAGCCTCCCGAGTAGCTAGGATTGCAGGCACCTGCCACCACACCCAGCTAATTTTTGTATGTTTTCTAGAGACCGGGATTCACCATCTTGGCCAGGCTGGTCTTGAACTCCTGACCTTGTGATCCACCCGCCTCGGCCTCTCCAAAGGCTGGGATTACAGACATGAGCCTCCGCACCTGGCCATATTTTTTATTTATTAAGAAACTACCTCCTTTCTTATGATCAGTCACAAATATTTGTTTCCAGTTTTTTGTCTTTTGACTATTTAAAGTCATTTTTGATGGTGTTAAACTTTATCATCTTTTTTTCCTTTTGTTAGATTTTAGGTTTTAATGCCGTAGTTGGGAAGGCCTTCCCTGTTCTGTGATTATAAACTAACTTTCTTCTTCTTTAAAAAAAAAAATGCTTCTATAGTTTCATTTTCTACTTTTGAATATTTGACCCATTTGGAATTTATCATGGTGTAAGATGTGAAGAGCGGATTCAGCTGCTTTTCCTACATGTTTACCTAGATATCCCAACACCTTAATTTTTTGAATAATCTATCTTTTTCCCACCAATGTGAAATGCCGCCTTTATTATAAACTAAATGCCTGGATACATTTGTAATAAAAGTGCTGTTTCAAATCAGTTCAGTGTGTTTCTCATTCATTCACCAGTAATGAGTGACAGTGCCGCATTCTTGCCAGTATTTGGTAGTGTTAGTGTTTTGGATTTTGGCCATTCTGATAGATGTGTAATGGTATCTTGTTTGAATTTTGAGTTTCCTAATGACATACGATGATGAGTTTTTCATATGCTATGTGTATATCTTCTTTTTTTTTTTTTTTTTTTTTTGAGACCGACTCTGGCTCTGTCGCCCAGGCTGGAGTGCAGTGGCCGGATCTCAGTTCACTGCAAGCTCCACCTCCCGGGTTTACGCCATTCTCCTGTCTCAGCCTCCCGAGTAGCTGGGACTACAGGCGCCTGCCACGTCACCCGGCTAGTTTTTTGTATTTTTTTTTAGTAGAGACGGGGTTTCACTGTGTTAGCCAGGATGGTCTCGATCTCCTGACCTCGTGATCCGCCCGTCTCGGCCTCCCAAAGTGCTGGGATTACAGGCTTGAGCCACCGCGCCCGGCTGGAATTTTTTTTTTAATGTGGTACTAGATTCTGTAGTAAATATTTAGGAGTTTTATCTGATACAAAGAGATTATTCACTGTAGATTTTGAATAGGTATAAGTTGTACAGTAATCAATATTTTGGGAGTTGAAAGTGTATGAAGGTGAAAAAAAAAAAAAAGTGTATGAAGTTGAATAGCCTGATTAGAACTCACATCAAAATACCTGGATTTATCACCAGTAAAATTCATTCATTTCAGGGTACCTTCATTGATGGTGCCCCGTCAAAACTTAGAATTATTCATACCTTGCAAACACTGAGAAACTGCTTTATCTCCTTTCAGAAGTGGAGACCAGAAGTATTTATAAACTCTAGCAGATAGTCAAGAGGAAGAGAAGGCTATAAATTTGACCTGTACTGGTCTAAGACCTCATCAGTATTGATTGTGTTAATTCAGTAGAAGAGAGAGAATAGGCTAGACAGAAGTATATCAATATGCAATTTATTGAGTGTTTGTTCAGCAAATAAAAGGTACAGAATGGAGTGGAAGTATGTAGCCTATTTAATAGAAGTAACTAGCATGCTTGAGCCAAAGGTAAGTGAGTGGAAATGGGAAGATGCAGAACTAAGCAATGTGTGTGCATCAATTATGGACCCCTGAGGAAGGGATGGAGACCAGAGGAATTACTGGAAACGCCTGTCAGGTTTTAATTAACTCTTGGCAGTAATCCCCTATAGCTCCTAAGATATTGCTAATATAACTGTGCTGTATCTGCTACACCTACTGCTGCTGCCACAACCACCGCCACCGCCAAAGCTCTCTAACTTACCTGAATTGAGACCAGAGCACCTTAGCCTTCCTTTGCAGACCTTAATGTTTGTGGAAGGTTACATGGGAGGAGGTGGGGAGAAGATACGGGTTATTTTGCCCGCTAATATTTTATTTTATTTATATATCTTATTTTTTTTGAAACAGAGTCTCGCTCTGTTGCCCAGGCTGCTGGAGTGCAGTGGCACAGTCTCCACTCACTGCAATCTCCTTCTCCCTACTGGGTTCAAGGGATTCTCGTGCCTCAGCCTCCCGAGTAGCTGGGATTACAGGCACACTCTACCGCACCTGGCTAATTTTTGTGTTTTAGTAGACGGGATTTCACTATGTTGGCTAGGCTGGTCTTGAACTCCTGACCTCAAGTGATCCACCTGCCTTGGCCTCCCAAAGTGTTGGGATTACAAGTGTGAGCCTCTGTGCCTGGCCTATATAGATGGTTTTCCTTATAAGCTGTTTCTTTTGATTCTCTATGGTAACTCTAAGGTAGTCAAGTAAATTATTGTTATTCTCATATTTGTGACGAGAAAGGCAGAGCTAGGGCTTGAATTTGGTTCTTTTGAGTGAGATACCAAGGTTCTGTTTGTTTGTTTGTGACAGAGTCTTATACTGTCTCCCAGACTGGAGTGCAGTGGTGCAATCTTGACTCACTGCAGCCTCTGCTTCCTGAGTTCAGGCAATTCTCCTCTCTCAGTCTCCTGAGTAGCTGAGACTACAGGTGTGTGCTACCATGCCCAGCTAATTTTTGTATTTTTAGTAGAGATGGGGTTTCGCCATGTTGGCCAGGCTGGTCTCAAGTGGTTTGCTTGCCACAGCCTCCCAAAGTGCTGGGATTACAGGTGTGAGCCACTGTGCCTGGCCCCAAGGTTCATTTTAAATATTGGGTCTGACTGTGTGCAGTGGCTCATACCTGTAATCCCAGGACTTTGGGAGGCTGAAGACAGGTGGATCACTTGAGGTCAGGAGTTCGAGACCAGCCTGGCCAACATGCTGAAACTCACTTCTACTAAAATTACAAAAAAATTACCCTATTCAACATGCTGAAATCCCATCTCTACTAAAAATACAAAACAATTTTTGTATTTTTGTATTCGGCTCAAAAATGAGCCGAAATTGCACCACTACACTCTGACCTGGATGACAGAGTGAGACTGTCTCAAAAAAAATTTTTTTTCAAGTAAATAAAAATTAAATATTTGGTCTGGGTAATGGTTATTTCATGTGCCCAGAAACCTTCAGAATGTAAAGCTATCTTCTAGAGCAGTGGTCTCCAACCTTTTTGGAACCAGGGACTGGTTTTGTGGATGATACTTTTTCCACGGACAGTGGATAGGGGGTTGGGGTTTCGTAATGAAACTGTTCTGCCTCACATCATCAAAGCATTAGTTAGATTCTCATAAGGAACACACAACCTAGATCCTCGCGTGCACAGCTCACAATAGGGTTCGCACCTCTCTGAGAATCCGGTCTGAGAATCTCTGACCGGAGGCGGAGCTCATGCTGTAATGCTCACTCCCCACTGCCCTGGCTTCTCACCTCCTGCTGTGTGGCCTGATTCCTAACAGTGCGGTCCGGGGGTTGGGGACACCTGTTATTGATCATAAAGGTTACCGAAGTCTGATTTGTGTATCAGTGGTTCTCACACTTTGGGTCTCGGGGACTTATTTATACTCTTAAAGATGTTGAAGATCCCAAAGAGCTTTTGTTTACATAGGTATGTCTATCAGGATTTGCCATATTAGGAATTAAAACTGAGAAATTTAAAAAACATTAATTTACTTTAACATAAACTCATTTATGGTAACATAAGTAAGGTTGCTCTTTTCCATAATAGACAGCTGTTTTCATAAATTTTTTTAAGTTTGAGGAGTGGCATTGTTTTACATAGCTAGAAATATTGTTGATACCTGTTTGACTTACAGAAGACAGCTGGATTCTCGTATATGCTTCTGCATTTAGTCTGTTGCTGTTACATTGTTTTGTTGAAGTGTATGAGACAGCCTCATAGATGTGTAGTTTGAAAAGGGACTAGTATTTTAACAGCTTTTTTGCAGATTCTTATGGACCTTCTTTCATGCTAAACAAAACTGAACAAGTGGTACTTTCTAAAGAAGAATCAGAGAGTCTAGGAAGTATCGAACCTTTTGTTGAATTGAAAGGTGATCGTCAAAAACACCAAAACGTTCATGTATTTTGTAGTAATTCTCTGGGTATTTGTATTAGCCTTGGTAGGTTTTTAGTTTGAGAGGAATAGGGGTGAGATGATGTCACTAAGCTTGTTGGAAAATGGGAGTGTTTTCTCATGTGGGGACATTTTTGTGGAAAATAGTTATTACTTCAAATATACAAAGGAACCTGGTGAACTCCTCTATGACTCCTATCTACAAGAAGTCACCAGACTTGTATCTTTGTGGCCGGGGAGAAGTAAAGCAAGCAGCAAGTGACAAGCACGATCAGACCATCATTTTGGAGGAGAGAATTCTAAGGAAGAAGGATGGTAGTGGTGATACATATTACCTAACAGAGAGAAATGCAGAGTACCTGCTGTACTTCATATGACCCAGGTTTTGAGGGAAGATAAATTACTCCCTGTAAAAAGAGATGCTAAGTACTACAGACTATTATAAATGATAGCTAATTAGGGGTGTTTGACTAATCTGTATTCTAATATCCTAATTTAGATTGGCAGCTTCTTCTTATATCTGAGTATTGGGAGCTCCATTAATACATGGTGATGTTCTTTTTGTCAGTCTGTAGGTATATTGTTAGAGCCATGCAGTGACCATGGTGATAGTGAAGATGGCTGTCTTGAGAGGTAAGCATTTTTTCTTGTTTCTAATTAATCATTTTGAGACTTGGAGCTCTTCACAGATTTTTGAGGTGAATTTTTTAGATGAATATCCATTATAAACATATAGTTTAGATAATCTTAAACAGCCTTCTTGTTATAATGGTAGACATAAAGGATATTAAATACCCATAAATATTTGGATTTGTGCAGGTTCAGACAGACAGTAGTTGTAACTTGGAAAACATTCAGAGGGAAAAACAGCCTTTTTGGAGACATTTAAATCTTTCAGTTGATTGTGGAACAATTGGGAATTTACTGATATTCTGAGTATACCTGTCAGTGAGTTAATTCATGGTCTTGTAACTGTGTATAACTGAGAGATATTGTATTTGATTCAACAAATATGTGTAGGATGTTTTTCTTCCTCTTTGAATTTATCCTTGGTGTGTCTCAATATGTCTCAATACACTATTAGGCGGCTGGTGCTTTTTTAACCTCTTTGACTGGCTATAATGGTAGAGAAATACTGGAGGCAACGAGTATTTCAGCTAAATGTGGAGTCTCAATAGATAGCCTCTTTGGGTAGAAGCTTTCTGGAATGTTTTAAGTCACAGAATCAGATTTGGGTTCTTGTTACCCTTTGCATCAGTCTTCAAGATGCTGCCAGAAAGTATAACTTTCTTAGGACGGTGACTTGAGATTCTGAAAATACTTCAGTAATGAAGTTGCAGACTAGATTGTAAATATTGAGAGATTCCAGATAGCATACTAATTTGCTGACAGCCTGTTGGCCAGGACATATTTGTATTCCATTGTTTCTTTTAATTATAAATAGGAAGCCTATTCTTTAAGGGTAAGTAAATTCTTTGGAGCCATGTCTCTGGAGCCTCCCCATACTCTGAAGGTCCACAGATTTCCTGCTTATAGCAGTTCCTTGTGCTTCCTTTCAGGAGGCAGGAATCATCCTCTTCCAGCCCAGGGAGTATTGGAGCTATGGGCTGAAGATATAAGATTAACAGCATTAACAGGCACCCCCAGAATGATGACATCTGGATTTGGTAGAACAATAAGGAGCCATTTAGTGAGGATTCTTCTGTTGTTGTTGTTTTGTTTTTGTTTTTGTTTTTGTTTTTTAAAAAGCTCTTTCCTCTTCAACTGTGTATAAGTTAGCAAACTGGTTTTTAGATGCAAAGAGTACCTTGGTTAGGTGGATTACATTTTGTTTGTTTAACATTCATGTTTCTCAAATGTAGGTGATTAGGTCTTTTAGGTTGCTAAGGTAGTATTTACTCATCCTACCATTTGCTCCTACACTAAGCAAAGGAATGCCTTTAAGCTTATCAGAGCATTTAGTTCATTTCTTATGCTCAGCAAGAATAAGATAATTATCTGTATGAGAAAATGACTTGCCATATTTAGATCAAGGCATGTCTCCTGAGTGCATACTCTGTTATGGCCAGTTAGAAGTGACATCTTGATGTGTCATTGTAAATTGCCACAGTGCCTTTGGGGAAAAGAACTTTTCCCCAGTAGGCATATTGATAATCTACTGTATATTAGCAGGTGCTCTCTTGACTGGTAAAATAAGTACAGATCACTTATGACAGCTTGCTATAACACTTGTTCTAAATAAGGGTTAGTTTTTCTGGGGAAATTGAAGGTGGACTGAAATTTTTAAAATTTCCTTTTAGTATGTTACTGTTATGTTTTGAGGAGGGAAAGGTTTAGAAGTAGTAACCTTCTTTGATTGGAAGTAGTAACCTTGTGATAGAATACAGTTAGGTTTAAAGTAAAAGACATAGTGTCTTTTTTTTTTTTTTTTTAAATAAAGTCTCCTTTGAAAGTTTCAGGAATGGAGAGAATAGAGCTGTTTATTTGGTTAAAACATTTATTTTATAAAATCTTTATTATACATTCTTTTGGGTTTCTACTTACTGTGGATTTTAGTTTTCATTTTATAAAGGTTTTTCTTTTGTGCTGTGGTTTGTGGGGTGGAGTAGGGATTGTTACTTGATTTTTCTAAACCTGAAGTGATTCTGTGGATCTTTTCAGTATTGTGTGATTTTTCAGATATAGGGCTCCAAAGAATGGGCATATGTCCAGTTGGCATTTTCTCCTCGTACATTGTAAATGCTAACTGTGTGGTGGAGTAGAGGAATCTAGGTAAGAAATACATAATGATAGTAGGCTTTTTATTCTTAATATACTAACAACTTTACTTATATTTTTAGGGAAGAATATTTGTTATTTGACAGTGATAAATTGTCACACTTGATTCTGGTAAGAACTATTTTTTATCTTAGTCTTTAAAAACTTGCCTAGGTTTAAACTGTCTGTTAAGTCTGGTCTTTCACGTGGGTTAGCTAGGTTTAAAGATTTAAATATAAATACTCCTATCAAATATTTTACAGTTAAACAGCAACTTAATTTGCCACTTTTGGCTACAAGAGACTTGGTTATGAAAACACTTTCCTGAATTTGGAATCCAAACTTGTCTTCCAATAAGACATATTCTAAAACTGCGTGTTTATCTTTGAAAATAGTTTGCACAGTGGGAGTGGGATAGTCGGCTGTGTAGGCACAATAAACTAATGAAGACTACACATGGATATGTGCTGGATGTGTTTAAGCTGGGTGTGAAAAGCTTCCGTCATTGTGAAATGTATTCTTTATTTTAAAATACAGGATTCTAGTAGCAAGATACGTGATTTGAATGCCAACACTGAATCAGAAGTACCAGGAGGTCAAAGTGTTGGTGTTCAAGGTGAAGCAGCATGTGTTAATATTCCACATTTAGATCTGAAGAATGTTTCTGATGGTGATAAATGGGAAGGTAATTTTACCCACACACATTATTTTCCTGATAATGTTGTTTGTAACTGAAATTACCCTAAGCGATGATAAGACTACAGCCCTTTTCTGGATAACCTTATTCATCTTGATCTTATTCTCCCTTTCATATAAGATAAATAAGTGGGTGTTTTTAGTGAAACACACTGAGATTTTGGGGCAGCATCTCATGAACTAGAAGTTCTTATCTGATCCATCAACAGCTTTGAAAATGGATGTTAGAGCTGATTTTTTTAAAAGGTCACCCAGCATACATTTTTGTTAATAGTTAAGGGCTATCTCCCAGTCTTTGAAAGCCTAGTATGTTACGGCTTAGGGATCTCACCAGTTTAAACAGAGGGTGTATAATTACCTTTTCCTTAGAATCATCAGCAGTACATTTTTGAAAATGACCTTCAAGGGTACTTCTAAACAAATATTGTACCATATTCCTGTTATCTCTGTCTTCGGTTATGAAGGTATGGTGCAGGGGACTTTAAAAATTTGCACAAAGGAGAGAAGTTAAAATTTAACAAGCAAACAACATGGGTATATGTATGTCTCAAAACTCAGCAAATACATAGATTTTTGTGTTTCTTTGTATATAAAGTTCTCTTTTTGCTTCAAGAGAATAAAAAACTGTAAACAAATGCTGAACTTCAGTGGATGATTTGCATGCTGGAGTATTTGTGGGGAAATTTACTGATACCCGCAGTTTACTCTGAAATCCGTGAAAAAAATAAGATGGTTAATGGGATGGATAAATGTTAAAAAGCAAGTATAGTAGAATGTTAATGATAGACTGCGATTGATATATGGATATTCAGTGTAAAGTTCTTTCAATTTTCTATGTATTTGTAAACTTTCAAATAAAATGTTGAGTGGGGGTGGGAAACAAGCAATAAATTTGGATCTAGGAGTTTTTCTGGATCATACACCTTGGTAAAGAGACAATGAGATAACTCAAGAATCTTAAGCAGAGTTACATATTCATTCACTTGGATGAAGAACCCTGGGTTGTGTCCCCTTTGGCAAGTTATCTGTTGACATACACTGGCAATAACAGGAATTGTAATGCCAGTGCCATGGACTCCTTTTGGCCCTGTAAGTGTACTCACCTGATCGCAGATCGCAAATGGAGTGTGTGTGGATCTTTTTTTTTTTTTTTTTTTTTTTTTAAGGTCTAGGCATTTTTTTTTTAAGAGCCCCAACCAAGTCATTGTCTGTGCCAATTTTTATTGCTGTCTCCTCCCCACCCTCCTTTTTATATAGGCCTAGATGTTTGGCATGCCCAGTGGCATATTATCTGTTTTAACTTAGACTAAATTAGGAAGTTGTCTTTCATTTGCTTTGTTCTGGGTTATTCAGGACATCTGGAATTTATGAAGATGCTTCCCAGTGTTAGGGGATATGTTAGCATACTGGTGGCAGTTGAAGATTATATGTTCTTTTTTGTTATTTATTGTGGCTGAAATAAAAGGAATGGTGGTCGACAGAGCATCCCTTGGAGCATTGCTAGGAAATGAGTCTTCAAAGGAAGCAGCTGGGATTCTGATAAAGCACTTTTGTTTCTTCCTATTAGAAGATGCAGATAAATAGTTCTGTATGATCTTTGGCCTGGGAGTCCTGATTAAATTTTAAACATGGAAGAACAATTGTTTTTCATTGTCTGAAGAGAATGGACCTTCTCTGTCTTAACTTCAGTGTTCTTGAGTCTCCCTGAAAGAGAACCTGATACTGGACTTTTTTTTCCATGTCAGAATTCAGCACCCGTACCTTGGTATAGATAAAGGAGGTAACCTGTAGGCTGCTGATGCCTGATTTTCAGTGCCTGAGCTGCCCTGGTTCAACAGCCTAAACAAGTCTATGTAGGTCTCCTACTTGCTCTTCCAGAAATAGGGTCTGCGACTTTCAGAAAGCCAATGGTTACAGACACCAGAGTGAACTTCCCAGCCATAAACTGTGCATGTGCTTTGTAGAGTGGCTGTTTGTAGACCATGTTATTTCTTCTAACTTTGTCACTAATGCGAACATTTATTGATTTTCCACAATTAGGAGTTAGGATTTTTTTTTTTTTTGAGACAGAGTTTTGTTCTTGTTGCCCAGGCTGCAGTGCAATGGCATGATCTCACCTCACCGCAACCTCCGCCTCCCAGGTTCAAGCAATTCTCCTGCCTCAGCCTCCCGAGTAGCTGGGATTACAGACATGTACCACCATGCCTGGCTAATTTTGTATTTTAGTAGAGATGGAGTTTCTCCATGTTGGTCAGGCTGGTCCCAAACTCCCGACCTCAGGTGATCTGCCCGCCTTGGCCTCCCAAAGTGCTGGGATTACAGGCATGAGCCACCATGCCCGGCCAGGAGTTAGGATATTCTCAATGAGAAAGTCTTATTTATTTAAGAGACCAACTTACTTTAGACCCTGGATACCTTGGAATCAGACATGCTTTGTTTGATGTGACTCTTTGTAGAGAAGTGGGATGACTCCAAATAGAGCCCTATGTCACTATTCCTAAGTATATGGTTTTTGTTTTGTTTTTTCCTCAAAGGGTAAGAAAAATAGTCAGCAGAATGCAGTAGTTAGCAAGCAGGTAGCACACATGACTGTCACCAGTATGAATTTGTAGCAGCTGTTCACAAAGTTTTGACTTTTAATGGAAGTGGATACCATCTTCAGATTCTCTCCTGCTAACTCTGGAATGAAATGCAGTAGAATTTTTTCAAAGAGCAAACTAAGGGAGATTTTTTTCTTTGAAATCATTTATACTGAAAAACTTCAAACAATGCCTGCTTAAGAATTTCCATTTCTTCAGTTTTATGTTTGCGTTTTAATAAAATAGCGCTACTTTGAGTTTTCCCCCTCTTTTTTGCATTGCTTGCTGAAATGGAAATGTTATGTTTATGTTTGTTAAAATCTAGTTAGTAGTAATTTCTTTTAATAAAGTTTTTGAACAGAATGCCTAACTGGTTTTAGGGAAATGTTTTTGGTATTTTTGGCTTTGTGTTATGTGTATGGTTTGTTCTGACTGTGCCGTGTGTTCACTTTAGTATTTTTTGCCATTTTTTCCATTTTATTAGCGTCATGCCCTATCACTTTTCCCCTCATTGATTTCAAAACAATGCATCTGCAGAGAGATGGGGAGGGTAAGTATGGTTCACCATAGTTTAGTTTTTTTGCCTTTTTATGGTTCACTTTGTTTGTCTTTTTATTAAGCCCTTCTCCTGCTGTCCCCATATCTTAGGAAAACTGTTCTGGGTTCAAAGTCAACCCAGAAAAAATTGCTGTTACTTTTGTCTTTTCTTAAAATAGGATATTTCTCATAAAATGTTCACTACCAGTTACTTATTTGCTGGGACACAGGTACAAGGGTTGCTTTGAAAATCACTTTATTGTTGGGTTTATTGTGGGATCGCACGCTTTGTACCCAATTTTTAATTCTCAGATTGATCTGGGCTTCAAAAACAAACTAAATTATGTTTTTATTATTTTGAAAGGAAAGGTAATGCTTTAAATTGCTAATGCATAAAGTTAAATTACTAAAGCAGCAATCTTAGCTACTGTGTGAGGAAAAAGAAAACATCACTCTTGAATTTTGACACTGTCAAGCCCTCTTTGCATTCATTTTCACTATTGCTAATAGCCAATAGCATCGAAATTTTTAAGTGTAGTTATTTAAAAAGCTGCCGGGCGTGGTGGCTCACGCTTGTAATCCTAGCACTTTGGGAGGCCGAGGCAGGCGGATCACTTGAGGTCAGGAGTTCATAACCAGCCTGGCCAACATGGTGAAACCCCGTCTCAACTGAAAATACAAATATTAGCCAAGCATGGTAGCCGGTGCCTGTAATACCAGCCACTCGGTAGGCTGAGGCAGGAGAATCGCTTGAACCCAGGAGGCAGAGGTTGCAGTGAGCCGAGGTCATGCCACTGCACTCCAGCCTGGGTGACAGAGCGAGACTCCATCTCAAAATAAATAAATAAAAAGATAATGTGTAGATGGCAATTTTTTCTTTCCCTCCTGTACTTAATTTCGTATTTGGGGTATATTTGTGGATTGTGTGTATGATCTGTATGTGTTCTGTATATAATCAAACATTATATTTGCAAAGACATCGAACGTATTAACATAGCTTTCATTTGAGGGCATACAGGATAACTGCTGTAAAGTAAATGTGCTTAAGAAGGCCTAGTGCTATAAAGTTTTGTCTTAGTAACACTGATGAGTATTATTAAAATATATATTATACATAGGAATCCTGTAACAGAAGATAACTGTCACAGTTTAATGTTAGAGGCCAGGTGCTGTCAGGTGAATCAGCTCCTCCTTTTGGGAATGTTAGAATTCTTCTAAAGTCAGAGAGCTCCATTTGGTGAGTGTTCTGTGTAACATGGGGAGCAGCTCCCACTTTTTCTTAATGTAACTATTTGACAGTGAGGGACAGGTCATACACCTGGCATCATTTGGCTTTTAAGTTAAATTTCTAAGAAAGAACTTCAGTTCTTGCTGTTTCTAGTTTTTCCCTACTTGAAAAGTAACATTTGTAAGTAAAACATCTTTAGAAAAGTTCAGAATTATATTAAATAACATCTTTAGAATTAAATTGGGTTTTAAAGAGCTTGACAGTGTCCTTTCTTGCTTTGCCACTGGGTTCAGAAATTTAAATTTATATGGAAATAGAACTCTGGGTTGGGCACAGTGGCTCATGCCTGTAATCCCAGCACATTGGGAGGATCACTTGAGCCTAGGAGTTCAAGGCCAGCCTGGCCAACATAGTGAGACCTCGTGTCTACTAACAACAAAAAAAGAAAATTAGTCAGGCATAGTAGCAAGCACCTGTAGTCCCAGCTGCTCGGGAGGCTGAGGTGGGAGGATTGTTTGAGCCTAGGAGGTCGAGGCTGCAGTGAGCCACCATCATGACACTGAACTCCAGCCTGGGCAGCAGAGCGAGACCTTATCTCAAAAAAAAAAAAAAAAAGAACTCTGGGCTACAAATTGAAGCTTGAATAATTTTAAACTATAGTAGGCTTTATGAAGACATATATGTATATATAAAACGCTACATAATGGTATGATTTAAGGAACACATAGCTGATATTTTGTGACTTTTTTCCCATGTGGAATCAAGAGACCCATGGTACTATTCTTTGTGTTTTTTTATAGAGCCATTTCCTGCTTTTAAGTCTTGGCAGGAGGACTCTGAGTCTGGAGAAGCTCAGCTGTCCCCACAAGCTGGAAGAATGAATCATCACCCCTTGGAAGAGGACTGTCCTCCAGTATTATCACACCGCAGTTTAGATTTTGGGCAAAGCCAGCGTTTCCTGCATGATCCAGAAAAGTTGGATTCCTCATCTAAAGCACTGTCTTTTACTAGGTATATGATTTTTATGTACTTACAAGAGGCAATTTCTATTATATACCCAAGTCTTTTGAGAGATTTAGTCTTCCAGCATGGGCTTCAATAGTGACACTCCATCTCAAAAAAAAAAAAAAAAAAA